TTTCTGTGCATCTCGACAAAGGCACCTTCTAAACATGAAGAGCAGCCACAGAAACATTCCATTCAATTCCATTTTGGGGAAGTAAATTACCAGTGTAAAAGAGAAGCAGTCAAATAAACAAGAAAGAAAAGAGAGAAACACATCTGAAGATATCACCTCAGTTGACATCCTTGATTTGAATGAATGAGCATTCTTGCACAGGTGATGGCAGGACATTAAACAAACAAATTTTAGAAGTGTTCTCAGTTTGGAAATCATGACAGAATTTCAACATCTTGCTAACCTGAACGAGAGGAACTGGCTCCTTAATAGTACATCTTTGGCTAGGTTAGATGATGTGATTCTCTTTCTATATCAAAAAGCGAGACTCTTCCCTTTGCACAGTTAATTTAGAATTCTTCATACATACCGTGAGTAGGCAAGTGATCTTAGGGCGTATTTTAATCCAGTCAAAGTCTGAGACAGGAGAACTATGCCATTGGCATATACAAGCATGGGGGTAAACCTATGAGCTAAATTGGGGTGAAGAAGCCAGAACTGATGCAGACATTCAATAGCAGTGGGGCCAATATACCACTCTGCCTAACTCCCCTCTTCAGTGTTCACTTCGTCAAATGACCTTGCGGGGTGGGTCAGATATTGGAATAGGAGTGTTCATAGAGCTTTTATAGCAAGAGTAATAGCCATCGCTCTATTGTAGAATTGATCTGTTTATCCCACAGCTTAGCTTTTGATATTGAATCAAAGGTGAACCTAAAATCAATGAAAGACGCACATACAGCTGGTCCTGCTTTGATGGACTATGTGCTATCAAGTTGGTGTCAACTTTTAGCAATCACATGGCAGGAGTTTCAGCAGAAAGACTTGAACCTGGTCCTTCAAGTCTTCGTATTTATTTATTTTTGTTTGTTTATTAAATTTGTATGCCACTCAACTCCCATCAACTATGGGCAGACCTATGGTACACCCATCACTGCTGTAATTGTGTTGATTCACTTTGCTGCTGGTCATCATCTTCCTGCCTTTCCTTCCACCTTTCCCAACATTATAGACTTCTTCACAGAGCTAGGTTTTTGCAGGATCACTCCAAAGTAGGAAAATTTGAGCCTGGTCATTTGTGCCTTGAGTGAGAACTCTGGGTTGATTTGCTCAGTGATCCATCATTTGGTTTCTTGACTGCCCATGGAATTTTCAGGAGTCTTCTCCAACACCAAAGTTCAAAAGCACCGCTACTCTTTCTCTCTGGCTTCTTCAAAGTCCAACTTTGAAGAGGAGAGTGATTGACTCTAAGCAAGATAACCATGTGAATGAGGGTGGTATTTCTGTGAACTGAAATGTGTTACAGGCTGGGAACACATACTAGGCTAAAGCATGATTTCTTTTAATATTGGTTTGTTGAGCACAAAATCAATATGGTTGTTAAATGACATTGTATCAAGTCATGATCCACAATACAATGTCTGTGTTCACGTAAGACAGAAAAGTGTGACCACCAAAACTTCCTATAATGTAATGGATGGATGACTCCACCTTTGGACAGGTTTCTTCAGCCATAACTTCCCCCCACTTAGTATTCTGTCTCTCCTACACAGTGTTAACTGCAACCGGGATTACGGGATCTAGGCATGCTACATGTTTACTGAGGTGCTTACTAGGAAATGTATCACTGAAGCCCTTGCAGTCTTCCATGGACTTAAAAGAAAAAAATTCCTTCTATGCTGCAAAGTCTTCAGAAAGCCACAAATTTGGGGATTAGTCCAGGAAAAGCAGCCCATGACCCACGTAGTCTTCCTCCATGTGAAGAAAAAGTGGGAACGCAAAATACCAGAGGCTTTCTGAAACTGGATCATGGTAAATACCTCCCTGGCTATGCTGTGGGGTAGGACACAACACTACATCCTGAGCCGTATACATCAGTGAGGTAGCTGCCTCACCATTAGTGTCCTCTGCATGCTACTGAAAAAATGT